CAGGAAGTCCCCTAGGTGCAAAGTAATGCACAAAGTAGCCATCATACACCTGACAGTGAGTGAGAAAAGAGATTGTTAAAAGCAACCTTTGCTTCTATCGGTATTACATGTTTATAGTGTGACAAAGTCAGGAATGAAAGGTGCTGACCTGAACATCACCTATGAGGTCTTTTAGATCCACATCATACTGGATGATGAAATCAGCATTAAGACCATTGGAAGAAATGCTCTTCTGTTGATTTAGAGTCGGAGTGTAGCGGACCCGAGCACACTCGGGACTCTGCTCGACATGAGTAGAGGCAGGGGCATCGGCATTAGCTGTGGGAAACATGCCATGAGGTTGGACTCAAAACCAATAGAAGAGAATTTACAAAATTTCCATCAAAGTAAGTAGACTTATTTGCATTTTTCTCACCAACCATTTAAGAATATACCATCCCTGTGTGGTATGAAATTACAGCCAGCAAAAACAAGACATTATGTTAAGTCAAATAATGCACATGTAAATATTCTGATGGCTAACCGTTCAGATTTTACCTTGAGCTGGGGTGTTGGTGACCGCTTGGCTTGTCCTAAGAGGAAGGACCTTAAGAAAACTGATGCCTGTCCTCTCTCTTATGCAGACATCTAATGTGAGGTTCTGGACAAGTTGACCGGGCCTCAGACCCAGAGTGAGCTCATAGCGGCCGAGCCGACGCTGTAACAGCTCCTCGTACGTCAGGAAGAAGGACACCCTAGCCCCTGATGGCACACTCACTGCAACACGAAACTTCTCAATTTCCCTCTCTCTGCAAAACCACAAATGTAACATTTGCAAAGTTGTATTTCTGTAAATATAGTATGATACTGCAAACATGAAAAAACTACCCCCCCAAAACAAAACATAATATTCTGCAGTTATCAAAGGTGGTAAAAAGTTCCAATTTTCCCTAAGACTGACTTGGTAGCGACAAGTCCTGCTGTTTTTCCTTGCTTCTTAGCTGTGTCGTACATTTTCCTGGCAGCAGCCCTTTCCTTCACCTGGGCCACATACACCTTGCCGCTGGAAGTGCTGATGGGAAAAGGAAAGAAGAAATACCTCTCTGTGTGACACACACGGGGATGTTAAACATGATTTGTTTTACTTTACACATCGTATTTCCACAGAAATTACAAAGCTGCCACACAAACTTGTATACATATCGAGTTCATACAACATGAAAAGGAGGTGAAGGTTATAAACAGGAAGAGTGGAAAAGAGTAATTTTCGTGTAAAAATAACAATAATGGAGCGAGAGAGCTCACAAGCTGATGATCCTCCAGGGGAGTGCCACTGTGTGCTACACCCAGCTAAATCCCAACCAAAACCAGTGCTCAAAAATGAGATTAAATTCACACAGTGCACTTTCTAGGCATCGTGACCACTGCTGGCACGTGACAAGGTGCTAAATTAAGGTCAGGTCCACAGAACAAATATATCCAAAGGAAAAAAAACATCAAGAGCTAACTAAAATAAACCCGCAGCCTTGAAGCGGGTCTTGTTTGAAAAGCAGAGCAGAATGGCATGAGAGAGCAGAGTGGAAAATGAAGGTGCTTATATTTATATGTGTGGCTGGCTGAGAGGGTGAAGGAACGGCTGTACGTCAGTGATCTACACATAGAGTTCTTAGTGTTGGAAGCCGAAATGCCAAAGAACTAACGCAATACATATACCACAACTTTTTTCCTCTGGGTATTTAGTGACATACAGGCAGTCTTATGAGTTCTGAATGTCTGTGTGAAAACATTTATGAATGTACGCAAGTCTGTGTGTGACAAGGAGTGAGAGAGAAATGTCAAGAATTATGGGTGCAAGAAGCTGTACGAGCTCCAAACTCACACATACTTAAAAAATTCAAGTCTAAATCCTCCTGTGTACACACACACACACACACACACACACACACACACACACACACACACACACACACACACACACACACACACACACACACACACACGGACAGCTGATGTAAGTGTGTGTCTATGCAGCATATCTGAACTGGCAAGGTGCCTTAGTAAACTGTATGGGGGCGAAAGGGGAACTGGGCAAACTCCTATTAACTTTTGGACTTGGGTTTACAAAGCTTGGCATTCATGTACCCTCAGGTTCCTTCTCCTCCTGACCTGCTTCCGCTCCCAAATTCAACTCCGGGCTTGCTGTTTGGCCTGCAGTGTTGACTTATTTGTCTTGTTTATATTTAGCATTTTTAAAGGAGAGCGGTTTTGAAACCTCTCGGTCATAAAATTATGCATCTACTCCAGACCAGAATTCTAGTTTCCTAGAGCAAAAATGATCTACATGTACTAATTTCTACTAATTTGTCTCAAGTTTTACTTTATGATTCAGGCCACCAATGAAAACGATTACTTTTGTTCATTTCAATTTGCGTTATTTCTCAATTGTGAGATACTCTACATATTTATATTGATACTGCTTTTTTTCTATTATTTGTATCTTGTCTTCTCTCTATATAGCAGACAAAAAGCGTTTTTTTTCTTGTCCACTCTATAATGTGGGACTTAGTAGCTATGCATTATTATATTTTAATCAATATACAGTGAACACTACTGGAAGACAGTTATTCAAAAGAGTGAGACACAGATTGGGTGCTGTTTCAGGCTTTTAAAGTAAGAGCAAACAAGTAGAGAAGAAGAAAAGGAAACAGAAAGAACACAGGCACACTAACAAAGAAATGATACCATAGGTAGCAGACTTGATAATACTGGGCCGACTTACATGGTGAAGTTAGAGATGAAAGCAGAGGAGGGCAGGTCCACCTCAAAGGCAGCCTCCTTAGTTATTGGGAGCTGGTTCCACACTGAACTCTGGACTGTAGTAACAGCATAGCGGGACACCACTGAACACTTAACAAGGTAGTCTGTCACCTTCAGCTGGAGACATAAAAAATAAGTGAATAACTTAAAGGTTGGAGAAGAAAGCAGCAAACTGAAGGATTTACAGGAGATTCTCGTCACATAGGAGCAAAGCCCTGTTTTACTGTAAAAATACAAGACGTCAATCAAATCAACTGACTGCAAAAATAGAAATAAAAATAAATAAATTACAGTTTACTGTAGATTTGCCACCTGTATGAATCTTTCCCAGTTGCCACATTTACATTGATGCCAATGTTCAGATCTAGCTATAACAGCGAGCCATGCATATGAACTTACTGTCAATGTGGTATCCTTGTTTTTCTTTTTTTCTATATTACTGATTCTCCTGCATCAAGCCAGTGAAACAACACAAAGCAGTTCCCTGCAGGGTGTCTGTGCCCTCCTGTTGTTTACTTAGGGACTGCTGGCGCCTACTGAGACCAATCTGGTTAATGCTGGCCACATTAGTGCAGGACAAGGCGACAGGCAGGGGGCAGAGACAGCCACATCAGGCTTCCACCTCAGCGGTATTTAGGAAAGCTGTGATTTGCCCAAGAATTATCCCACAGTGGAGTTACTGAAGATATCCTGAGAGGCAGTGGTGGTTGACTGTGAAGCTTGTTGTTCAGTTCAGGTTGTGCAACCAACAGAACAGAATGAAATCTGCACAGCTGTTAGAGCCACAGAACAGCCATTACTTAGCACTATTACAAAAAAATGCACAGACTTACCACTGGTTTTGTTGGTTTGCTTTGACGTTTTGCTCTCTGGAAAAGAAACAAGGCACCACATAAAAAAACAAAAAACAAACCACACTGGTATTTCAAGTGCATTTAGGAAATGGCACATTTTGTAAGTGTAACAAGAGATTCTTGGTTCAATAATTTGTCCAAAATGTCCCATTTTTGAATCAATCTGTACAATCTTCCTGTGTGAGGGTTGGGTCAAGATTGAGTGTCATAACAGTTTGAATCAAAGTCATTCATGAATGGAGGGGAAGTGGAACTGGAAATAAATGCTTTCACTGTATGCAGGCCCGGGCCAGGGTTGCACGGTTCAGTGTCCAATGTTAATTCAATACACTAGTCATTGCTGTGTCAATACATTACCAAATATCCTGTGTATTGGTGCGAAGTTAGCATAAACAAATAGTAAGTGTGGAAACCCCCTAAAGAGAAAGTTACGCAACATTAATTATACGGGTTACAGAAAAATAGGACTATATAATAAGATCTTTTTGGTAATCTTATTATATAGTCCTCCATTGTGCAAACTTTCACTTTAGGAAATATAGCTTTAATAAATTTTAAATATTTCGCAAAGGGTTGACTGAGATTTACTGGATTTAGATGCATGTTTGTGCGTTTAAAATGCATTAAATATAAAGCTCTGCGTCATTAATATTGTCCTAATGCAATAGGGATGATATTTCAGAAAGCAGCATTAACTGTGTAATAAAAAACCAAAATCTTACCTGTAAATTAATATTCGTGCTAACTTTTGCGTCATAATCCTCTGATAATCCCTCTCGCATGTACAAAGTGAAGAAGACTAGAACACAGGGAACCTTTAAAAACATTTTGCCCTTAATCATTTGGACTTGGTGCTGAAAAATAAGGAAATCGTCCAGTGGTCTCACGCTGACTGAAGCAAGCAGAGCACACGCCTAATTTTTACACTTTTTGCAGTGGGCAGTCCACCCCCTCTCTCGCGTCACCTAAACTGCGGCTTTGATATTGACATAAAAATACATTCAGAAAGGAGCCAAACATCCGTGAGGTGTTGTGGAAGAAAAAATGCCAAAGAGAGTGAAGTTCATTTAGAAACCTGCACGACTTTTCACGGAAAAGGAGGAGGCCGCTTCCAGCATGCATTCATATATACTGGAAACTTTGGGGACTTAACGAGAACTTCAGGAAAACACCAAAACAGTCTCCCCTCCCCAGCTTCTCCGTAACAGCGCTCCTTAAAATAATCACAGTCGTATTTTTTTTCTAATTACTGCCAAATGTTTTCGTTTCACTCGAGCGACATTTCTCAAAGACCCATTATTTAAAAGAAAAAAGGAAAAAAAAAAGGAAACAGTAACATTGGTCATTAGGTATGTGGGAAGAATTTAGACTTTAATTGTTGCACGTGGCAATTAGAAGAATAAAACAAAGACTCCTGAATTTTAATGCGAATTTATTTTCTCACATATTGGAGATAATTATTCTTATATATTTTCTATGTACAACTTTTATTTATTCGAACTCACCATGCTATTTAATTTCATTACAGTAGTTACAGTCATCCAAGTATAAAGTAAATGTTTTGTTTGGGTGCTGTCCATGGTGCTGATTCCTAATTACATAACTTGATGATCAACAACACATTTTGTTATCTGTACCACAGTTAAATGTACATGAAGGCAAGGTTAAGAGTGATAATGAAAACCCATCTACATCTACAATTTTATTCTTGCCTTCAGCTCAAGACAAAGTGCATTATTACTGTCTATAAATCATTTGTAAACACTGTGTGCTTTCAGAAAAGAAAACCACATTAAGTCTGATGAGACAGAAATATTCCACAGACATCCTGAAAACAGAGCCAGCTGTAGGTTATTCCCTTTTCACTCACTCCTTGTGCTTCGGTGTTGATGCAGTCCCGTGTCTAGAATCACCTCTTCAGCTTCAAAGACCTCCTGTCTTCTATTTTCCCACATTCAGCTGTGACTGGAGTGCATCTCTAAAACTTAGTGAAGCTTATCAGTAGTAACAAATCCAGTTTCACATAACTCAGTTTTCCAGCAAACAGTGTTTATATGTGGTCAGGAACAGTCTGCAGAGCTTCCTCTGGGTTTCTGGTGATGTTGACATTCTGCAAAAATAAAAGCAACAAAAGAATCTTTCAAGACTAAAGTGGAAGTTACTGAAAAACAGAACGATGAATCAGATCTAACTTTAGTACGAGTAGTATGTAATATTACCATTTATGAATCCAACTTTACAATGTCAATAAGTTCAATGTAAGTGAAAAAGGGATAATTAAGCAAAGGCATCGTTTCTTCACAACTGCACACATATTTATTTAATCAGCACATACAAATGATACAACTTTACTGCCTACAGATGAATTATTGGCAAAGCTAAGTATTACAACAAATGTGCAGTTATGTAAACTCACCAGTGGCCTCTCTCTGTGTGTGTTGACAGCTTCAATATTGAGGAAAAATGACTCAACCTTACACCCTACAAATGAAGATGTAAGAAAAAGATTTACATAGAGTGAATGTGCGATACACTAAAGATGGGATATGATATATAATTAAGTTCTTACCACCTACCGTAGGCTATTGGTGTGAGTTTGAGCACAGTGTGAAGAGGGCATCTTAGATAAGGCAGCTCATCTTCAGAGACACAAATGTAAATATTAGAAGAAGTGTTTGTGGAATTAAAACAATATCACAAACTGCTGTATATTGTATCACATGTTTGTGCACAGTTTGGGACGTTTTTTTGTTCTACCTGCAGGTTTGTCAAGGAAATAGGCTAACAGGCAGCGCATCACAGCTTGGTGGCAAATGACCAAAACATTTTCCTGCCTCTCCAGCTCCATGATGACTGGCTCTAGACGATGGACTAGATCTTCATAGGACTGGACAAGAGACATAATTTCAAACATTTTTCCACAAGACCCAGACCCTAACCCAGGCTCATTTTATTCTGATTCTCTTAAGGTACATTTTTGGTAAAATGGTAAATGGTCTGTATTTGTACAGCGCTTTACTCAGTCCCTAAGGACCCCAAAGCGCTTTATACTACATTCACCCATTCACACACTGGCAATGGCAAGCTACATTGCAGCCACAGCTGCCCTGGGGCGCACTGACAGAGGTGAGGCTGCCGGACACTGGCATCACCGGGCCCTCTGACCATCACCAGTAGGCAAACATGGGGTTAGTATCTTGCCCAAGGATATTTGGAATGCAGCCCGGAGGCAGCCTGGGATCGAACCACCGACCTTTAGTGGCTGACCTGCTCTGCCACCTGAGCTACAGCCACCCCATTTTTCTGGAAATGGTAGGGACAACAAATTGTAGAGCTAAAAAAGAGGGGACCCAAATGAAGGAAACAGGAAGCAGGTAGACTAAGCCAAAGGCTAGCATCAATGCTGATCTGATTTAGAACAAAAAAGCAAGAGCAGGAAGAAAATCTGCTTAAAGACACTTAGTCTTTATTATTTTTAAATTTTTAAAGACTAAGTGACCTCCGACAGTGTTTGCAACATTTTGAAAGCTTGGAGCACACAACTCCTCAATTTTTTTCCTCTCTAAAGTTTTGTCAAAGCCACTCTAAAGCTTTATTTTTGAAAGACAAATATCAAAATAATTTAAATCTTTTTTAGCTCTACATTCCAAACTAAATACTCTCCCTGAATGATCAAGTCAGTGTGCAAACTGCTTCTGGTAAGCTGCTCACTGGCCAACAGAGGAAATTATTTGTACTAGAAAGATTCCAGGTGTCAGCAGTGTGTTTATTAAAATCACAGTTATGCTTCCTTGGTTGCATAAAATATATTTCTAAAACTCATTCAGAGCAGGGCTTACCTCACCCTTTGGGTACCGATAGCGATATTTGTCCTGGTCTCTTAGTGCAAATTCTTCTGGGAAATTCTCCTGAATTTCCTCATAAGTTAGTTCCTCACATACACCCTTAGTGAGAAAAATATAACACGAAAATCTTTTTTGCAAGTGTACCGTAGCATAAAAGCACAAAACCTCTAAGGTATTGAAATTTCAGTCTCTTGGAGATTTTAATCGCAGATTAAGATTAAAACAAAAATTATAACATCCACGCTAGCGACTTAGAAAAAGTGGTGATGTGAGCAAAAAGCAAAGTGTATAACTGTGCAATGGCAACATTTCCTTACTAGCACCAAGTACACAGTGAAGCTCATAGTGATGCCAGTAACCAAGATTGCAATTTATGTTTTGGACTGAAGATGGTGCTAGAGGATAAACAATGTTGCAGGTCATCTGTCAAGACACTTGATCAAATATTCATATACGTTACACTCAAAATTGCCTCTTCTGCAAACTTAAAACATTTGTGGATAATTTTATAATGTTTTTAATATACTTTGGTATATTACAGACTGAACCAAAGGGAAAAACATACTAACTGACTATGTAATCATATCAACTTGTCAAGCATTAGAAAAACAAAATAAATCATTTATTGGAATAATTGAATTAGTGTTGCTGAGGTATTATTGTTTTATAACTCACCGCATCTATCTCATTAAGAGCCTTCCACTGTTCATACTGGACTCCCAGGGCCTCTGCAGTCTGGACAGTCCTCTTCATGTGACTCGTCCACACCTTGAGGTCTATGATTTTCTGTCCTTTGATGAAGGTCGCCAGGGCACTAGCATACTAAGAGAAAGAGTATGATTTTAAGAAGCTAGTTGACCTTTTAGGAAATAGACTGGCATTTATACCACATTTTTGCAATTTTACTCACCAAATGAAATGCATAAGATTACAAACTACAGGTAACTAATTTTGCTTTTTCAGAAAATGTCAGTTCTTTATATGTTTTTATTTGTCAGCCAAATTACCTTTTTTCCTCTAGGGGATAAGCCCGTGTCTCCACCAATCCGACCTAACAGGTTGAGTTCGCTCTCTCCATGGCGGCTCAGGTAGATGGATCTTGGTGTGACGTGTATGTTCATGAGGTAGTACACTATTCTGCTCTGAATGTGGTCCTGGACCCGGTTCACAAGGTATCTACTGCCCACATCGAAGATCTTTATGTAGGAGAGTTTCCTGATCAAATTTATGGCAGTGAAGATAAAAAAAAAAAGTTATGGAAGTATTTTTTATGCATTCTTATCATCACTGGAAGAAAGGTGTCATAGGTCGCACCTGTCTTTCTCATCATCTATAGGCATGTAGCTTGCCCTGTAACAGTCGATGCGCTGGGTGAAATCTTCCATGGCTTCATCTATGTCACGGTCTGCATAATCAGGGCTGCCGAATTTTACTTGCTGAAATGAAAAGAAGATTCAGGTTTAGATTAAAACATTTTTTAATTGCACAACAGCTTCTGTACATACTGAAGTCTACACACAAAAAGGTTATAGCATAGATGTGCTTCTCACCCTGATATTCTCTGCAATGATTTCTGGGTCATCACAGATGGATTCAACGAAGAACACCTGCATTCAAGAAGTCAGTTGAAAAAAGTATTTTTACATCATGAGTAAATACAGTATAGTTAGTGGTTAGCTTAAAGGAACCACATGGTAAGCGTTGATATAACTCTGTACAAAAATCACAGGTAATGACATTATTAAGTAGAAGGTCAATATGATTCTTTGGACTTGACAGTAAATACAACGCTACAATATCCAGATGCTCAGCTCCCAGAAACACAAAGTAACAGCTAGCCTGGCTTTTCTTTGAGGCATACACAAAAATATATATCCAAATAAATATTTAGGTTACTCTTAGCTTTTAAACTAAAGCAATATAGGATGTTTTTAGTTGTGCAGGATTGCCTCCATTGCTAGACTCAACCACTGCCACAGCTGAAAACAATTTACCTCACATTGACTATGGCTGTATATGCACTAATCACCTAAACAGGTAAAACAGTATTAAGCCATAAAACCGGTCTCTTTAATGTTTCTCTTTTTTTATTTCTTATTTTTTACTTTTTTTTTTATGTGAAGAAAAATAATTATAGGATAAAAATAGGTGGACTTTTGGGCTTGTAATACACGGGTAAAAATCCTGTATTGACCTTTAGCTTACCTAAGTTAACTGGTTGTGATGCATGTCTTTGATTCATGAATATATAGTGACAGAAAATTGATGTCATTTTATTTATTCTACTCTAAACAAGACCCCCCCCACAAATAATTGCTTTAAATAGCCGTTTAACACTTACCTTGTAGCCCATTTCCATTGCAAAACTAACAATGATTGCCCTCCTTTCTCTTGTGGTGTTTGTAGCATCAAATACCTGCATGAGACAGGACACAGGTGTTATCATTTGGTAACAGTGACACGATTAGATAGATAGAGATAGATAGGGAAAGTTTTTTCAAAATTAGAAGGACAGTTTTAGTTGTCCTCTTACTCACGGCTACTTGCCCCAGTTCCTTTGTGAAGTACAAAGCAACATCTTTGAGTGCAGCTGCTGCACAGGCCCTGGGAGAGAAGTGACACTCGTATATGCAAAGAGACAAAAACTGCAAAAATATGAATGATTGATGAGTGTCGTGTGAAAATGAAGATAAATCAAATCTGTCACACCATGATTTTACAAAATTCTCTTCAGTTATTTACATACTGTTACAAATGCCAATATTAAAAATGGCCAGTCTGTTGTTTTAAATGAGTAAACAGGTGCACCTTTGAGTAGTTTATCTTTAGCGTACTTACTTGCGAATCTTCATGGCTTCCTCATTATCAGGTTTGAAGAATTCAAAGTTTTTATAGATCTTGACGGCCTCCCTGCGGTACTGGCCCACGTTAAACACTGATGGAGTCGATAAACAGAGAAAAATTAACTGTTTCTTTCTGACACTTATATGATTAGGACTCAAGAATTCATTTGGAAAACTGACTTTTTGTCGGAACCCCGATCCAGTTCAGGTAACGAGTGAGCTTCTTGGAAATGTATGTCTTCCCTCTGGCTGGCAATCCAACCATCACAATCATTGTGGGAGAGTTACAGAACTGAGGCACAGAGGCTGAGAACAAAGTAAACACACAAAAAACACAATGAATTCTTTCAGGTACACTTGGGACTTGTGAGCTGACTGGGTTATTCAGCATTAGAGCATCTGTTTTGTGTTCAGTGGGTCACATGCAATCTAGAACATGTTTTGTCTCTGGCTGCTGAGGTCGTTTTCATTAACAGAGAGAATAAGAGCTTCACAGTGCTGCTCAAATGTCAAGTTTACGGTTGGTGTAGTAAGTTGCATGGGTTTTGTCTGTGCACAAAACAACTGCCCAACTGACCAAAAAAAATAAAACGGACACAAAAGCAGAACAGAAATTAAATAAAACTCTTTAGGTAGTCACATCTTAGAAGCAACCAGAGAAGCACACTGCACCATACGGCTGACAGGACATAATGCCTTTAATCTCCAAGTATGTTAAAATGTCCCTGCATGTTGTTAAAGCTCAGCTCAGCTACTGCAAGAATTTCCAAATGTAACAATATTAATCTCCCTGGAAAAACCTAAATTGGTTTAGACTTTGTCACCTATTATTTATGAAGGAGCAGCAAGCAAAGGAAAACTTCATTAGGTGCCTTTATAAATGCATCTTACCTTACCAAGGAATGGTCCAGTAGTCTCAATACTACTGTGTCTCAAAGTTCAGTAATTTATAACGTAGACTGCTTTGTTGCTTGCCGGCTAGCTGTACCCCAACAGGTACCCGGATGGCCTGTGTATATGTCCATATGAGGACATGGAAAGAGTTAGCCTCCAGACTGTTCGATTATGAATGGAGTATGCAGCGTCAGCAAAATGCTCAAAGGACCATGCCAGACACTCAACTGAGAGCCAACTCAGACCTGGTTTGGTCTAGGCTGGCTGTAATCCCATCGCTGTGTCTATGTCTATGTCGCTCTCACACTGCTGTCTTTCTACGCGTCTCCCTTGAAAGGCCTGAGCTCAGTTCAAAATTAACAGGAGAGAAAGGTTAGAGTGTAAAACAGACTTGTGACTGCTGGACGTCTTGATGCTGATGAAAGCTTTTGCTGGAGCAAGAAATAAGTTGAAGCAGAGACAGAACAAACATCAGGGAAGATAATGTACTGTAATCTCATACTCAAAGTGAGACAGGCTTTTAATAAACTTACACCCTCTCCTGCGGTTCAAGTTGCCTCCACTCCATGGCACCCAGATCTTGAGCAGAGGTGTCTGTGTAAGATTTTTATGCTCTGTGGATATATTAATTGCCAAAGCCATGAGGCCTGTGAAGCAGGTCGAGGAGTTAACGACTGAGACGCACAGTCCTGTGATCTGTGTGCATATTTGTGCCTCACTGAACACTAACTACTGCAGGTCAGGTGACAGTTGCTAAGGAGAAGTAAGCTACTTGGTAGGCAGGAGGGGGAGGAACTGAGGCCATGCTGCTTCTCTGCCTCTCCATCTGTTTCATGATTTAAAAGGCTTGAGAGAAGCTGCCAACAGAAGGACCCCTCATGAGCTGAGCACTGCTGGTGCTGCTGCACAAGCTGTACAGAAAGTGCAGTGCCAGTATTCTCCTTCCTTACCACTAGATGGCAGTTTAGACCATCTGTTTAGTCGCTCATAATCAAAACGGTCAAAATTTCAAATAATTAAATAATTCCATATAAGCCAACAACAACGATTAGACAGCACTAACCACCACTGCTCTGCCTAATTTAGGCCACATAGTTCATATCAACAGTCATCAAACAGTTATTTATATTATGGCTGAAGAAATCACGATAGTAGACAACATTAGACAGATCGGATTACCCCTATGAGCAAGTATTTGGTGATGGTGGAAAGGCGGGACTCTTCAATAGTAAAGGGCTTCAGACAGAAGTGGGAGGGGCATCCTACCTTTACGCTTTCAAAGTTGAGGGGGAAGAGAAGATACAAAGAAGAGCTTTGAAGGACTACAAACAACAAAGGCAACACAATGAAGCAAAAATAATGTTTTAAAAGAAGTCAGCCACTTCCTGTCAAAGCCCAATTAAAGGTTGTGTAAGAACAGAATGAGTGTTCCTGTATGTGGTTGGAACAATCACTTTCTTGAGCAAAGAATCATTCAAGCATTTAAACAGCAGCTAACTCAAAGGATAAATCAGTGTTGTGTCCACCAATAACAGAAAACAAAGCAATTTTAAATATGTATCATAAGGTATTTTTTCTAGCAGCATGTCACAAAACATAATTTAGCCCAATTTGTTGAGTTGAATCTCTGAAAAATGGCAAATATAACATAGTTTGATAGGCATTAAATAACAATGTGATTCTCACAGAGTTATTAGCTGAAAACCTGGATTATATCAGCATGGTGTGCAGTACGTTCTCAAAGAATTTCAGGAAACCTGAAAAGTGGAGGACAAAAAGATGTGGCAGGCCTAAAAAAGTATCTACAAGACATAAGCAGCATCTCAAAGCCAGGTCTTTAAGAAATAGGAAAGAAAGACCTGAAAGGCCTGAGATAGGACCTGAGAGGTGCATATGATCAATCAGATGTACGGTTCCCTAAAGCCTCATCAGAAACGTTCGAAGGAAGAGCGGCTGTCAAGAAGCAATTTCTAAACAAGGTAAACAGGGACATTATTGTTAGTATGTATGGAGGAGGTCAGGAGAGCAGTACAGCAGTGAGTGCTTACAACCTTCTGTAAAACACAGTGAAGGCTCTGTGATGATCGGGGATGATCGGGTCTGCATTTCAGCTAGACTCTTTGAATTATGAAAAGTTACATTACATTACATGTAAAACCATCTAGAAAGCATCTGATTGGCAAGGGGTTTGTTTTCTTTTTAGAAATAGCAATAATCCCAAACACACTGCCAATGTATTAAAAGGTTATCTGTATAGAAAAACACACAATTGAACACTGTCAGTCTTGGACTGGCCTCCTTGGGGCCTGGGCCTTATTAATATTGAGATTGCATTATGAGATCATCTTAAAAGACAACAAAACCAAAGATCTTTGAATGTCTTCAAGAAGTCTGGAGAACTATTCCTAAAATCTCCTTAAAGAATAACAAGAAAGCTGCCTAAGAGAGCTCAGGCTGTGTTGGTAAGAATAAATGTGATCACATCAGATATTTTCAAGATCATTCAAATTATGCAAAGTCTGTTTTTGCTTTTTATGCTGTACTTTCATGTTTGTTTGCACATAATTTAATAAATAAAAATAAACTAACGCACCGATTTCCCATTTTCCTAGGAAACATATAAAAAAATGTGGGGTGGCTCATTTTTGAATTGTTCCCTGTGGCTTTCAGTTTCTCTTCTTAGTGCTAACAGTAGCTCCTGATGTGTGACGTTTCTCCAAATCTCATTTCAAGTGTCGAGAAAACCTGCAAGTTTTGAGCAGAGCACTTGAGCAAAACTTTGACTATCTGCACCACAGTTAAGTCTTTGTTTGATAAAGACACAATTTTTGTAGTTTTCCCTTGATACACCAAAGTGGAGTAATTTAATACACGCTTGAGATACTCAGTCAGGTTTGGTTTGCAGTGTGCTTTGGATCATTATCCATTATTGCACTGTGATGGACTGTGCAATTAGTTTTGCCACATTTGGCTGAATCTGAACAGAGAGTATAGGCCTGTCCACCTCAGAATTCCTTCTACCTCTACTATCAGCACTCCCATCGACAATAAACATCAGTGACCCCAAGTTGTCTTTTGTGGTATTTCAAGCCTGTTGGTGTTGCTGAGCTGGTCAGTGCACCCTTTATAAGAATATATCAGCCATCCAGATTTTAAAACTCCTAAAGATTTTCCTATCACTTCTTTAGATTTACTTTTGTTTATCAGCCTTATTAGGTGTCATATTTGAAATTACAAGAAAAAGCTACAAAATACAAATCTGAAGTTTTAAATCAAGTTCAGATATTTTGTCAAATTCATCTGTCATGTAAAGTCAAAGGAACTGGTCTCACCTGCCTATGAAACCACTTGTCAATCAACTGCTAATCAATTTTGAGCCTCTGAAAAAAAGTCTACTTGACACAGTGTACTGTGAAAATCCTCCCTGCCATCATTAGCCACTCATGACATTTGCTTGCAACACTTGCACAAGTCCAAGTACTCAAACCTTAATGTCAACTACTCAAACTTCAGAGAACATCGTGACCCAGTTCTGGACCAGGTTTAAAGGGCAGCTAGCCTTGGGATAAGCTCAACAGAAGGAACATACTATTCTATTGGCTGTTTTTCTTGGTAGGAGAGGTACTTCCAAAAACAACGGCCATGCAGGATTGGAGTGCTTTATAATGTTTCTTTATATTTCGTCCAACTTAAAAGAAGTCATTTAACACGTGAGAAAATTACACCAAATAGTAAAAAAATTGAATATAATAATAATCTCTCCATGATCTCTGTGATAAGGCGCACTGATCACTTATTTGTTTGCTTGTTTTAGTTTCTGTTTTAGTTTCTTGTTTACCTGTTCAAGTGCATGAGCCTTTTATTATCTCATAACCTTACTTCACTTCTTTGTTGTTCATTCATGATCAATGTATTACCTATAAACAAGGCAACCAGTGATGGTATAGATCAAAAATAAAGCAAGCTGCACACGCAATTTCTCATTGTTTGTGGGCGATTTGTATTCTTATCTTCCTTTAAAGTGGAAGTTGATTCATTGATTCGTAGGAACACATTCAATTATTTACTCATATTTATGTTGCATTCAGTATGTCCATGTTGTTGAATCACATATTAATAGAGATTTTCTTGCAGTATTTTGTCTGGATATTGCTAAGACACATGCTCTCTTTAAAGGTAGTTAATCTGTGATCTCACCTGCGCTATCATGTCTTCGGAGCCTCGTATGTTCAAGCTGGGGAAGCTCCATTATGTGCAACACTCCAACAAAACAACCAACAGACCATCAGCACAATCAACAGACAGAATTATATGGTCAGTGGCAACAGGATTACTGCTCTTTTTAAAGAACCCGAACAGAGTGCCAAAGTATTTTCAGCTCACCCCCACTCCCACTCTTCAGAGTCCTCAACATGCTGACATATGATAGCAGCACACTGGGCTTGTCCTTTGCCGTTTGCCAGGGCCAGAGTTCACAACAAACATAATGAAAGGGGAAGCAGCACTCATAGGATGCATCATAATAAGTGCAAAGGTCTTTGAGATGGTAGCTGCTGTTTTGCAAATGAAGATATGGCAGCATTCATGTTAAATTGCTATCTCTTATCATGCACGTCTGATTTAAAGTACATCAGGGAGATCATTGTCATCGACTGTGTGATATATGTTCGGCCTCACTGGGCTTGTTGGGCCACTGGAAGCAGTGGGATAATGTGTTATTTATATAAAAGCCAGACTTAAACATGAGATAAGTCTTTAAAGCCTACCCGATATTATATTATCTAATTTTCTAGCCATCCATCAATACATTTTCTTCCACGTGGGGCGATCGTGGCTCAAGAGTTAGGAGTTCGCCTTGTAATCGGAAGGTTGCCGGTTCGAGCCCCGGCTCGGACTGTCTCGGTCGTTGTGTCCTTGGGCAAGACACTTCACCCGTTGCCTACTGGTGGTGGTCAGAGGGCCCGGTGGCGCCAGTGTCCGGCAGCCTCGCCCCTGTCAGTGCGCCCCAGGGTGGCTGTGGCTACAATGTAGCTTGCCATCACCAGTGTGTGAATGTGAGTGTGAATGGGTGGATGACTGGATATGTAAAGCGCTATATAAATACAGGCCATTTACCACTTATACAGGGCAGGGTTGCGGGGGCAGCAGCATAGGAGCCCAGACATCCCTACAACCTCCTCTAGCTTGTCCAGGGGAAAACCAAGAAATTCACACGGCAGCCAAGAGATATAATCTCTCCGGCTTGTCCTGTGTCTCCCCCCGAAACACCACACAGGAGGTGCCCAGAATTCTTTCGAGGCAGTCCGAAAGACTTTTTCCATGTCCCAGTTGTGATCTCGGTAACAGGGGATTGGTCTCCCCATGGCTGCCACCCAGCCCCTATGGCACCTCCTGTGGGTGTTGGACCTACAGGAGGGTGGGCCCATGTTTTTCTGGCTGTGCCTTGCCTGGCCACATGGACTAAGGCCTAGGCACCCTAGGGTGGGGT